ACTTACAGGTTGTGTTTGAGTAAAAATTGTTTCAATCTTTATACTACTGACAACATTTTTGACAAATTCCAAATAAAAATCTTGTTATTTAGAGCATTTATTTGCAAAAAATGACAAATGGTCAAAATAACAAAAAAGATGCAATGTTTTCAGAACTCAAATAAAATGAAGAAAAGATCATAGTCATTTTAAAACAACACAATACTAATGTAGCTTCGGCAGTGATGCGGTCGCTGTATCGGACCGTTGTGGTGAAGAGGAGCTGAGCCAAAAGGCGAAGCTCTCGATTTACCGGTCAGTCTTCGTTCCTACTCTCACCTCTGGTCATGAGCTCTGGGTAGTGACCGAAAAGGACGAGATCGCGGATACAAGCGCTTGAAATGAGTTTCCTCCGCAGGGTGGCTGGGCGCTCCCTTAGAGATAGGGTGAGGAGCTCAGTCACACGGGAGGAGCTCGGAGTAGAGCCGCTGCTCCTCCACGTCGAGAGGAGCCAGTTGAGGCTCGGGCATCTGTTCCGGATGCCTCCTGGGCGCCTCCCTCGGGAGGTGTTCTGGGCATGTCCCACCGGGAGGAGGCCCATGGGGAAGACCCAGGACACGCTGGAGGGACTATGTCTCTTGGCTGGCCTGGGAACGCCTCGGGGTCCCCCTGGAGGAGCTGGAGGACGTGTCTGGGGTGAGGGAAGTCTGGGAGTCCCTGCTTAGGCTGCTGCCCCCGCGACCCGGCCCCGGATAAGAGGACGAAAATGGATGGATGGATGGATGGATGGACAATACTAATGTTTTAACTTAGGAAGAGAAAAAAAAAATCTAACAAGTTCTATAAAATAAGATAAGAGAGATAAAGTGTGAGAGAAAATCTTTTGACCGATCCTTCGACCAGTGCGAGTGGGGCAACCTGCTGCTGGGGGAATGAAGAAAGTGCCCAGTGGAAACCCACACAGACACAGGCAGAACATGCAAACTCTACTAGGGTTATCCCGATCCAATCACGTGATTGGAAATCGCCGCCGATCACGTGACTGCGGACTCGATCTGGACACATTCCAAGCCCAGACTGTGGTAAAAGTAAAGATTTTCAACAATGATGGTGCACGGTTAGAAAAGTGAATAAAATTAAAGTTTTGGACATTAGATTTTTCACAAGTTCAGTCAAATACTACACATGAAATCAATACAGTTCTGATCCCCCCACATCCTGGATCTTATTCTTTGCTCATTTAATAATTTTTATAGAAGTATCGGATCGGGACTCGGTATCGGCAGGTACTCAAAATCAAAAGACTCGGACTCGGGGGCAAAAAAATGTGATCGGGACATTCCTAAACTCCACATAGAAAGGCCCGGGGATCAAACCTTGAACCTCTCTGCTGTGAGGCGTGAGTTCCAGTGTAGATTATACAAGCGCTTACACCGAAAACAAAAACGACTAAATGAAGACGAGCTCATTAGTCACTTTCAGCCGCTCTAAAAATACGCTTTTTTTGCAGTGCGCCGACCCATCACCTTGACGACGGCGCCCGTAGGGGACAGCAGAGAGCACGTTTTATGCCGCGAAAAAGACAAATGCAGTGTGAGTTTCGCCCCGGGCCGCAGCATCAGGTCAGATAGCAGCAGTAATTACAGCAGAAGTAGGACAGTCCGGGGGTGGAGAGTTATACAGTTATACAGTGCAAATGTCAGATTGGTGGAGCGGTGCACTAACTTGTGTCTTATTTGTTGAAAGAGTTCGTAAAGTGTATTTTTGGCCGGGCGTTTGAGTGGGAGGCGTGAGACAGAGCGTGGAGACGTTAGGGAGATGTATTTTGAGCGATGTATGTAGGCAGCGTAAGTCTGAAAGAGCATGTTAGATTTAGTTGATATAAAAGGAGAACGAGGTTGTAAATGTCTTAATAAAAGATTTTTAAAGGGGACGTGTTTTACAAAATCCACTTTTATGAGCTTTTAACCACAGTGTTGGGGAGTAACAGATTACATGTACCGGAGTTATGTAATCAGAGTACAAATTATGAGTAACTGTATTCAGTTACAGTTACTGTTTCAGTGAGTGGTAATTGGATTACAGTTACTTTGTTGAAATAAATCGATTACACGGCGGGATTTTCCTGTTTTCACATTTTGGGCTATTTCCCCCCCTTTTTTTTTTTTTTTCCTTTCTGTAATTCCACTCATTGCTGGAAACTAAACCAGGTCTAAACTAGATCTAAACCAGGTCTAAACCAGGACTAAACCAGGACTAAAAACCAGGTCTAAACTAGAGCTAAACTAGATCTAAACCAGGACTAAACCAGGTCTAAACCAGGTCTAAAACCAGGATCTAAACCAGGACTAAACCAGGACTAAACCAGGTCTAAACCAGGTCTAAACTAACGATATACTTGGTCTAAACCAGGTCTAAAACCAGGTCTAAACCAGGTCTAAACCAGGACTAAACCAGGACTAAAACCAGGTCTAAACTAGAGCTAAACTAGATCTAAACCAGGACTAAACCAGGACTAAACTGGGACTAAAACAGAGCTGTCGTCAGACTCAGCGTCAGTTCCAGTTAGAATTATTCTGGTCTTTCTGAATCTCGACAGGATGATTTCAGTGTCACTGAAGTTCAGACTTTGGTCCGTCCAGTGACTTCAGGAAAGTTTCATGGTTCATCCTCCCGGTGTCACAAGTTTCTCACTCACTCCAAACTTTCTTTCTGCTTCTCAATTATCGTTTTCAGCTTCAGATTTCTCTACTTACAGCTTGTAATCTGCAAAATCAGATTTTGTTTTTGGAAGCATTTGTGTTCAGTTTTCTCAATCGTCTTTATAAGTTTGTTTAAATGTTAAATTTTCAGTGTTACAGAAGTAATGTTGCGATCGACTGACATGATCCAGACAGGACAGAGGCTCTTTCTGCAGGAGACATGCGCAGTAGAGTGAAGTGACAGTGGTACAAGGAGGAACAGGAGCAGCAGATACTCACACACAAGACTAGAACCTCTCACCGCTTCAGTGTGAACATTTTTAAATATATATGTCGTACCAGAGTATAAGTCATAGGAAACACCCAAACCATGAAAAAAGTGCGACTTATAGTCAGAAAAATACAGTAACTCTGTATTGTTTTTGCATGAGGTGCGGAGCTCTCCGTCAGTCCTTTCTCTTGCGGTCACCTCCGATCATGAGTCCTAGTTCAGTCCTGGTTTAGTCCTCCTCTTCAGTCCTGGAATCAGTCCTAGGTTAGTCCTGTTTTAGTCCTGGTTCAGTCCTGGTTCAGTCCTGTTTTAGTCCTGTTTTAATCTTAGGTCAGTTTTGGTTTAGTCCCGTTTTAGTCCTGGTTTAGTCCTAGTTCAGTCCTAGTTCAGTCCTGGTTCAGTCCTGTTTTAGTCCTGGTTTAGTCCTGTTTTAATCCCGTTTTAGTCCTGGTTTCGTCCTAGTTCAGTCCTGTTTTAGTTCTGGTTTAGTCCTGGTTCAGTCCTGGTTTAGTCCTGTTTTAGTCCTAGTTCAGTCCTGTTTTTAGTCCTTAGTTTTAGTCCTGTTTTAGTCCTAGTTTCAGTCCTGGTTCAGTCCTGGTTTAGTCCTGTTTTAGTCTTAGTTCAGTCCTGGTTCAGTCCTGGTTCAGTCCTGGTTCAGTCCTGGTTCAGTCCTGGTTCAGTCCTGGTTTAGTCCTGTTTTAGTCCTGGTTCAGTCCTGGTTCAGTCCTGGTTTAGTCCTGGTTTAGTCTTGGTTCAGTCCGTGGCGTAGGCAGCTCAAAAGTTTAATATAATCTCGGGTTAACGGGCGGGTGTGAGTCTCCAAAAATGGACCTGTGCAGGACAAAATAAATGAATCTTCGGTTCGTTACGTAAAGAAGAAGGAAAATAACAAAAGGACGACAGCAGAGATCAATTTTAAGACGGATGTAAAAAGAGTTGTAACTGTCCTGTGTGAGAAAAGAGTATAAAGTTTGTGCTGAGAAGTTTTACAGACTTAAAACAGATAAAATAAACTTGACTACTTCACGAATTTCACCTATCGCGGGTTATTTTTAGAACGTAACCCCCGCGATAAACGAGGGACACTGTAAATGTAAAGTAGAACTGTAGTTGTGATTGCGTCTTGTCCCTCTAGCGCCCCCTGGTTCTCGTCCAGGTCGTGTCTCCGTCTCCGTCTCGTCCTCTTTTCTTCTGCTCGACCCGCAGCTCTTGAAAGCAATTTTCTTTTAATCAGTTTCACCACAAAGGCCCCGACGCCGACCTCCACACAGACTCCGTTTAGACACTTCACCTCCTCGTCTCTCTCTATTTTTCTCTCTCTTGCTCCTCCTTTCTTCATTTTCTTTTACACTCTCATACACCCGTCTCTCTCTCTCTCTCTCTCTCTCTCCACCTCTTCCCTATCCCATTTTCTCTCTCTTGGGTTCTCTTATCCATCTGTCTCTTACGCTCATCTCTCTTTCTCCCTCCTTTTTTTTTATTTCTCTCCTTCCCTTTTTTCACTTCTTGTCTTTTCCTTCTCTCCCTATTTCTGTCTCTCTATTTGTCATTCTCTTTTCTCTGTCTTTCTTTTTCTCTCTCTGTTCTATCGCTTTTCTCTCACTTTGCTCTCTCTTCTTGTCTCTCTCCCTCCCTCACTCCCTTCTCTTGTCTCCCCCGTCTTCCTCTCCTTGTCTTGCGCTCTCTCTCTCTCCTTCCCTCTTTCTCCCTGTCTCTCTCTCTCTCTCTTTCTCTCTCCCCTCTCTTCCTCCTCTGTTTCTCTCTCCATCCATCTCCCCATTCTCTCTCTATCTCCCTCTCCCTTCTCATGTCTCCCCTTTCTTCTTCCTCCTTCTCTCTCTCTCTCTCTCTCTCTCTCTCGTCTCCCCTCTCTTCCTCTCCTTGTCTCTTTCTCCCTACCTCTTTCTCTCGTCTCTCTTTCTCCCTCCCACTTTCTCTCTCTCTCCCTCCCTCTCTCTCTTCTCTTCCTCCTCCCTGTTCCTCTCTCTCTTTCTCTCTCTCTCTCCCTCCCTCTCTCTCTTCTCTTCCTCCTCCCTGTTCTCTTTCTCTCTCTCTCTCTCCCTCTCTCTCTTCTCTTCCTCCTCCCTGTTCCTCTCTCTCTCTCTCTTTCTCTCTGTCTCTCCCTCCCTCTCTTCTCTTGTCTCCCCTCACTTCCTCTCCTTGTGTCGCTCTCTCTCTCCTTCCCTCATTCTATCTTGTCTTTTTCTCCTTCCCATTTTCTCTTTCCCTCCGTTTGTGTCGCTCTCTCTCTCTCCCTCACTCTTTCTCTCTGTCTCTCCCTCTCTTCCACTCTCGCTCCTTGTCTCTCTCTCTGGCTCTCTCCCTCTTTCTCTCTCGCTTCCTCCTCCCTCTTTCTCTCTTGTTTCTCTTCCTCCTCCCTCTTTTTCTCTCTCTCTTCCTCCTCCCTCTTTTTCTCTCTCTCTTTCTCCCTCCCTCGCTCTCTCTCTCTTTCTCCCTCCCTCGCTCTCTCTCTCTTTTCTTCCCTCTTTCTCTCTTGTCTCTCCCTTCCTTCTCTCTCTCTCTCTCTCTCGTCTCCCCACTCTTCCTCTTCTTGTGTCTTTCTCTCTCTCTCTCTCTCTCTCCCTCTCCTCCACCTGCTCTAAGTCACTCCCCCTTCAGAGCACCTGAAAGCATCTCCACATCTTCTTTTTTTTTTTTTTTTCTTTCCTTCACCGCGTCGTCTTTAAGTGTCTCTCTCTGTGTCACTCACCTCTCTTCTCCGCGATCGCTCTCTCCTCTCCTCTCGTCCTCCGGTGGGCGCTCCCTTCTTCCCTTCTTTTCTCGTCCTCCTCGGCAGACCGTCTCTCTCTGTCTTTCTCTCTCTCTCTCTTCCTCCTCCCTCCTTCTCTCGCTCTCTCTCTCTTTACCTCTTTCTCTTCTGTCTCTCTCTCTCTCTCTCCCACTTCTCTTTCTCTCGTCTCTCCTCTCTTGCTCCTCTCTCTCCCTCTTTCTCTCTCCTTCCCACTTTCTCTCTCCCTTCCTCTGTCTCTTGTCTCCTTTCTCTTCCTCTCCTTGTCTTGCTCTCTCCCTCTCTTTCTCTTTGTCTCTCCCTTCTCTTGTCTCCCCGCTTTTCCTCTCCTTGTCTCTGTCTCCCTTTCCTTCCCTCTATCTGTTTTTTTTCTCTCTCTCTCCCTTTTTCTCTCTTGTTTCTCTTTCTCCCTCCCACTTTCTCTCTACGTCCCTCTCTCTCTTCTCTTGTCTTATCTCCTCTCTCTTCCTCTCCTTGTGTCACTCTCTCTCTCCTTCCCTCTTTCTCTGTGTCTCTTCCACTCCCGCTCTTTGTCTCGCTCTCTTTCTGTCTCTCTCCCTCTTTCTCTCTTCTCTCTCTCTCTCCCCCTTCTCTTTTCTCTCTCTTCCTCCTCCCTCTTTGTCTCTTGTCTCTCCTTCCCTCTTTCTCTCTTGTCTTTCTTTCTCCCTTCTCTTCTCTCTGTCTCTCTCTTTCCTTCCCTCTTTCTCTCTTGTCTTTCTCTCTCCTTCCCTCTTTCTCTCGTCTCTCTCTCTCTCTCCCTTCTCTTCTCTCTCTCTTCCTCCTCCTCTCTTTCTCTCTCTCCTTCCCACTTTCTCTCTTGTCCCTCTTTCTCTCCTTCTCTCTCCCTCTCGTCTCCCCACTCTTCCTCTTCTTGTGTGTCTCTCTCTTTCTCTCCTCCCTCTTTCTCTCCCTCCAAATTCCTTCTCCCTCTCTCTCTCTCCCTCTCCTCCACCTGCTCTAAGTCACTCCCCCTTCAGAGCACCTGAAAGCATCTCCGCATCTTCTTTTTTTTTTTTTTCTTTCCTTCACCGCGTCGTCTTTAAGTGTCTCTCTGTGTCACTCTCCTCTCTTCTCCGCGATCGCTCTCTCCTCTCCTCTCGTCTTTCGTCCTCCGGTTTGCGCTCCCTTCTTCCCTTCTTTCTCGTCCTCCTCGGCAGACCGTCTCTCTGTGTCTTCTCTCTCTCTCTCTTCCTCCTCCCTCCTTCTCTCGCTCTCTCTCTCTTTACCTCTTTCTCTTCTGTCTCTCTCTCTCTCCCACTCTCCTTTCTCGTCTCTCCTCTCTTGCTCTCTCTCTTTCTCTCTCTCTCCTTCCCTCTTTCTCTGTCTCTTCTTCCTCTCCTTGTGTGTCTCTCTCTGCCTCTTTGTGTCTCTCCCTCCTTCTCTCTCTTCTCTTGTCTCCCCTCTCTTGCTCCTCTCTCTCCCTCTTTCTCTCTTGTCTCTTTCTCTCTCCCTTCCTCTGTCTCTTGTCTCCTTTCTCTTCCTCTCCTTGTCTTGCTCTCTCCCTCTTTCTCTCTGTCTCGCCCCTCTCTTCCGCTTCTTGTCTCTCTCTCTCTCTCACCCTCCCTCTTTCTCTTTCTCTCTCCCTTCTCTTGTCTCCCCGCTTTTCCTCTCCTTGTCTCTGTCTCCCTTTCCTCCCTCTATCTGTTTTTTCCTCTCTCTCCCTTCTCTTTCTCTCTTCCTCTCTCTTTTCTCTCTCTCCTTCCCTCTTTCTCTCTGTCCTCTCCTCCCTCTCTCCCTTCTCTTGTATCTCTCTCACTTCCTTCTGCCTTTTTCTCTCTTTCTCTTCCCACTTTCTCTCTCCTCTCTCCCTCCCTCCCTCTCTCTCTTTCTCTTCTCCTCCTCTGTTTCTCTCTCTCTTTCTCTCCCTCCCTCTCTTCTCTTGTCTCCCCTCACTTCCTCTCCTTGTGTCGCTCTCTCTCTCCTTCCACTCTTTCTCTCTTGTCTCTCCCATTTTCTCTTTCCACTCCTCGCTCCTCTCTCTCTCTCTCTCTGTCTGTCTCTCTCCCTCTTTCTCTCTTGTCTCTCTCTCACACTCCCTTCTCTTCTCTCTCTCTTCCTCCTCCCTCTTCTCTCTTGCTTTTGTCTCTCTTTCTCCTTCCCTCTTTCTCTTTTGTCTCTCTTCCTCCTCCCTCTTTCTCTTTTGTCTCTCTTCCTCCTCCCTCTTTTTCTCTCTCTCTTCCTCCTCCCTCTTTTCTCTCTCTCTCTTTCTCCTCCCTCGCTCTCTCTCTCTTTTCTTCCCTCTTTCTCTCTTGTCTCTCCCTTCCTTCTCTCTCTCTCGTCTCCCCCTCTCTCTTCTCTCTCTCTCTCTCTCTCTCTCTCCCTCTCCTCCACCTGCTCTAAGTCACTCCCCCTTCAGAGCACCTGAAAGCCTCTCCGCATCTTCTTTTTTTTTTTGTTTTTCTTTCCTTCACCGCGTCGTCTTTAAGTGTCTCTCTGTGTCACTCTCCTCTCTCTTCGCGATCGCTCTCTCTCTCCTCTCGTCTTTCGTCCTCCCTTCTTTCTCGTCCTCCTCGGCAGACCGTCTCTCTGTGTCTTCTCGTTTTTTTTTTTGTTTTTTTCTTTCTCTTCTCTTCACAGTGGGCGTGTGACCTTGGCTCGACGCGCTGATGCATATAAATGAATCGTCTCGTGCTGTTGTGGATTCAGACGCCGCAGCCTCGGCCTTGTAACCATCGATTGGGGGGAAATATAATGCAAATGTGTTACTCCTGCCCGTGACGTAACGCGCGGCGAGCGGAAACGGCGTTGTAGGGATTATTATAGTGCGGGGACGCGGTTCGTGACGTAATAAAGCTGAAATATTTGATGTTTTGGTTTTGTTTGTTTTTTTACTTAAAATGATGCAGAATTGTGTTTTTATAGAACAAAAAGCACAGATTACAGGACTAAAACAGGACTGAACCAGGTCTAAATCAGGTCTAAATCAGGACTGAACCAGGACTGAACCATTACTAAATCAAGTCTTAAACCAGGATTAGACCAGGATTAGACCAGGACTGAATCAGGACTGAATCAGGATTGAACCAGGTCTAAACCAAGACTAAAACAGGACTAAACTAGGTCTAAACCAGGACTGAACAAGGTCTCAACAAGGACTAAGCCAGGACTGAACCAGGACTAAACCAGAACTAAACCAGGTCTTAACCAGGTCTAAATCAGGAGGACTAAACCAGGACTGAACAAGAACTGAACCAGGATTAGACCAGGACTGAATCAGGACTGAACCTGGACTAAAACAGGACTAAACCAGGACTGAATCAGGACTAAACAAGGAGGACTACACCAGGACAAAACCAGGTCTAAAACAGGTCTAAACAAGGTCTAAACCAGGACTAAATCAGGTCTAAACCAAGACTACATCAGGACTAAACAGGAACTGAACCAGGACTGAACCAGGACTAAACAGGACTAAACCAGGACTAAACCAGGACTAGACAAGAACTGAACCAGGACTAAAACAGGTCTAAACCAGGACTAAACAAGAAGGACTAAACCAGGACTAAGCCAGGACTAAACCAGGACTAAACAGGACTAAACCAGGACTGAAACAGGACTAAACCAGGTCTTAACCAGGTCTAAACCAGGACTACATCAGGACTAAACAGGAACTGAACCATGACTGAACCAGGACTAAACCAGGACTGAACCCTGTCTAAACTAGGACTAAACCAGGTCTAAACTAGGACTGAACCAGGACTCAACCATGACTCAACCAGGACTAAACCAGGACTAAATCAGGTCTAAACTTTACTTAAGTCCAGTTGAGAATCTACAACTGCACAGAGCACTTCACTTCTGCACATTTTCCACAAACTAAATAGTAATATTTTTCACTAAAACAGAACTAAAGTCGGTCTTCCGGCGTCACCGTGTTTGTTTGTTTTATTTGTTTGGGCATTTCACCTTTGGCTTCCACACAAACCTGAACACTGCGACGTGGTTGGCTGCCCACCACCTGTCGGGCCCAACAAAAAATAATCTTAAGTTTTTATTAAACCGTGTGATTACATTAAACTCTGACAAAAAAAACAAATATTTCTTGAGAATTTGTAGTTTCAAAAGGCCAAAACCGTGAACTCACTCACACATTTTTTTATCATAAATTATTTCCAAACCTGATCTCGTGGACCCAGCCTCCTGCTTTGACTCTGTTTTTTCCCCTGTGTGAGAAAGAAAGGAACAGCACAACATTCCATTATCTGAAAACATCCGTGTTTTTGCACAAACCAAAGTCAGAGCAGCTTTAATGTACAACAGGAGATAATGATGTTTGAAGCGTGAGCGGCGGCGGCGGCTGCAGGTTTGTGCTGCACATAGACACAGATGCAGAATGATGCAGAGTGTGGAGGGACCGAGGGAGAAACACTGTAAACCGAAGTAAATAGATCTGTTTACATGAGGATTTACACAGAGCTGTCACGGACTCTGTGTCTCAAACAGGGACTTATACTCTGTGTGTGTGTGTGTGTTTGTGTGTGTGTGTGTGTGTGTGTGTATAGGAACATGGGAGATGACAATATTTTAATAGACAAACTTTACTGTTCCACAAGGGAAATTACACGAACACATCACCATGTATTATAAAACCAAAGGTCAAAAATATAAATGGTCCAAATAAATTCAAAATAAGGAGAAAAAATATCAAGAAACTGGTGTCAAAGTGTCAATGCATAATTATATAAATGTAGCCGGACTGATGCCACCTAGTGCCTCCGCTCAATTTCATTTTTCTCCAGCAACTAGAAAACACTAGATGGTCAGAAAAACCCTGGAAGTGTGAGTTCGGGCACCAGCCAAACAGCGAAGAGACAGACATTCTGTGTTGGCAGCGATTCCCGAGATCGAGGATTTAAATCCGGAACAAAGAGAATGTTTGGTGAATTTTATCAAGGGGAAAGACATTATTGTCCTTCTTCCTACGGGATTTGGGAAAAGCTTCATATACCAGTTAACCCCGTGAGTGAAGGATTACATATGTCATGACTAAATAGCAGCGATTGGTTAAATACAGAAAGTACCTGCCTACTGACAAGCAAATGAATTTTAACACTGCGAGGTCAGACGGTTTCCCCAAAGTGAAACCGGCTTATGAATCCGGCTAATATAAATGTACACTTACAAGTAAAAATAAAATATATAAATATAGTTATACAGATATGTCTCAGTATATACAAGTATGTAGTGATTCAATACATGACAACACACTGTGATTTTATTATGATGTTTAGGTCAGAAGAACTTTTATTGCCATTTTATTTATTCGAATGTTAGAAAAAAAAAAAAAAAGTTGGTTTTGAAAAGACTGACACAAGGGATAATAAAAGACTAAATAATACAAAAAAAAGTAAAAATACAACACACACACAATGCAAACAATACCACAACAAAAATAAATACCATATTTTTCAGACTATAAGTCGCTCCGGAGTTTAAGTTGCACCAGCCAAAAAATTCATAATGAAGAAAGAAACATATTTAAGTTGCACTTTTTGGGGGAAATGTATTTGATAAAATTAGAGACAAGGAATCGACATTTCATCTTAAAAGTGAAGTTCTAGTAAAAACAATAGAACAGAGAACAACAGACTGTTAACGTCACATATGAACAGTTCTTCAGATAAACTATAACATAAACAACAGAACAAGTTTAACAAACTCTCCATCTCACTCCAAATCACTAAATCCATTCAATTCTTCATCCTCGGTGTCACTTCTGAGTAACTCCACGACCTCCAGAGGTAAACAGACGCCGCTTCCTCTTCTGTGTCGCTGTCGTCAGACTCAGCATCAGTTCCAGTTAGAATTATTCTGGTCTTTCTGAATCTCGACAGGATGGTTTCGGTGTCACTGAAGTTCAGACTTTGTCCATCCGTCCAGTGACTTCAGGAAAGTTTCATGGTGCATCCTCCCGGTGTCACAAGTTTCTCACTCATTCCAAACTTTCTTTCTGCTGCTCGATTATCGGTTTTGGCTGAATATTTCAGGACTTGCATCTCGTAATCTGCAAAATATGATTTTCTTTTGGGAGGTATTTGTGTTCAGTCTTCTCAGTCGTCTTTATTAGTTTCTTTAGATTTTAAATTTTCAGTGTTACAGAAGTAATGGTGCGATCGACTGACATGACACAGACAGGACAGAGGCTCTTTCTGCAGGAGACATGCGCAGTAGAGTGAAGTGACAGCGATACAGGAGGAGCAGGAGCAGCAGATACTCACACACAAGACTAGAACCTCTCGAGTCGCACCGGAGTATAAGTCACAGGAAACACCCAAACCATGAAAAAAAGTGCAACTTATAGTCCGAAAAATATGTTACTTTTTTTTCGCATTACATTTGGGGCAATGCTGCAGAGTACATGTGTTTTATTCATGAACAGATTCAAAATTACATAAATAGATTCAAATTAAATTCAGCGTGTACTGATCACAACTAGACACACACTGAAACATTTGCAGGTTCAGACGTTTTGATATTGGTTACATGATATCAGTTCAGTCAATATCTTGTCCTTGAGTTTGATGTAATAAGAATATTTATTTATATTTACAGGCTGATTTTGTATAAGAACGTCTCATAAGGTTTGAACTTTTCTTACAAAACTTATGCAGTAGTTTCTTGAAGGATAAAGGTGAGGTCGGGTCCACTTCATTGTCCCTGTGGAGAAGTTTGTCCTCTGCGTTTGAAGGATACATAACACTTACATAACACAGCTGGATCTGTTGTGTAATAAGTTCATACACTGTGTTTTAAAGGTTGTATGGAGGATTTTTTTTTGTTTCAAATTGTCAGTGATAGATTATAGATGCAGTAGCCTTGTAATTATGATGACCAAAAAAAAGAGAATAAAAATTCATCAACTCTGGACGTGGTGGGGCTAAACATTTGCCAATAGATAACGACACTGCCTCGTTATCTGTGAGCTGACAGGCTGTCAATCAAACTCCCTACGTTTCTAGTGTAACTGACTTGCCTGCGCCGCCGGTACGTGGTTTACGTACGACTGTCACACAGTCCACAGACGCAAGACGCACAGACGCTGTTTACTCCACCAACGCAACAGTTCTTAGCGGCTTTTTTTGACCTGTATCTTCCTCGCAGTTCGCACAAAGTTTGTTACAATGGCGACAAGAATCCAGGAGCAGTTCGCCGCAAAAGAAAGTCCGTTTTTGA